TATAACGCTCCAACAAAAGTCTAGGAGGAAAAGGGTGCCTATGTTGTTGTTGATGACTTCTCAACGTTTACCTGGATGAGCTTCATCAAAGAGAAATTTGAAGTGTTTGAAGTTTTTAAAGAATTGTGCCAAAGGATCCAAAGAGAGAAGGATTGTGGTATAGTCAGGATTCGAAGTGACCATGGGAGAGAATTTGAAAACAACAAATTTGAAGAATTCTGCACCTCTGAAGGGATTAGTCATGAGTTCTCCTCACCTATTACTCCTCAACAGAGTATGGTGGTGGAGCGCAAGAATAGAACTATTTAAGAATGTGCAAGGTCATGCTTCATGCTAAGAAACTTCCATATCATTTTTGGGCTGAAGCCATGAACACTGATTGCTATATTCATAATAGAGAGACTATCAAATATGGTACATCTGTTACTCTTTATGAGCCATGGAAAGGAAGAAAGTCAATAGTGAAATATTTCCATGTCTTTGGAAGCAAATGCTACATTTTGGATGATCGTGAGCATAAGAGAAGATGGATGCTAAGAGTGATAAGGAAATTTTTCGGGGATACTCTATAAATAGTAGATCCTATAGAGTATTCAATTCCAGAACTAAAGTGATGATGGAATCTATAAATGTGGTGATTGATGACTCAACCAAAGAAGCCGATGTCCCAAATGATGTTGGAGAATTTTCTCCCATGAATAACATTGTTTCTGAAGATGTTGCAGATTCAAGTATCAACACTAGTTCTGAAGATGTTGCAGATTCAAGTTTCAACTCTGAAATTGAAGAAACAGACGGGGCTAACAAAGGTCCCTCTATTAGGATTCAGGAAGATCATTCTAAGGAGCTTATTATAGGAAATCTGAATGAAGGAGTCAAAACTAGATCAAGGGAAGTTGTGTCAAACTCTTGCTTTGTTTCAAAATTTGAACCAAAAAATGTCGAAGAGCCCTTGACTGATGAAATATGGATTCAGGCTATGAAAGATGAACTTTGTCAATTCATAAGAAATGAAGTTTAGGACTTGGTACCAAGACCTGAAGGGGTAAATGTTATTGGTACTAAATGGGTGTATAAGAACAAGTCAAATGAACAAGGTACTGTCACCAAAAACAAGGTCAGACTTGTTGCTCAAGAGTACACTCAAATTTAAGGAGTGGACTTTGATAAAATATTTTCTCTTGTAGCTCGCTTGGAATCCGTCAGACTACTACTTGGAGTGATATGTCTCTTAAAATTCAAGTTGTTCCAAATAGATGTTAAGAGTGTCTTCTTAAATGGTTATCTAAACGAAGAAGTCTATGTTGAACAACCAAACGGATTTGTTGATCCTTCTTTCCCATATAATGTGTTCAGACTAAAGAAGGCATTGTATGGTTTGAAGCAGGCTCTGAGGGCTTGGTATGAAAGGTTGACTGAATTTTTTGTCAACAATGGTTATAGAAATGGAGGAATTGACAAAATCTTATTTATCAAAGAGAAGGATGGAAAAATTAGGATAGCTCAGATCTATGTGGATGATATTGTTTTGGAGGAATGCCAGATGAAATGGTTCAACATTTTGTCAAACAGATGCAATCAGAGTTTGAGATGAGTTTTGTGGGTGAATTAAAATTCTTCATGGGGTTGCAAATCAAGCAGATGGAAGACTCCACTTTTATTTGTCAAAGCAAATATGTAAATAATATTGTGTAGAAATTTGGATTGGAGAATTGCATCCATAAGAGAACTCCTGCTCCTACACACTTGAAGTTATCCAAAGATGAAAACGAAGTTAATGTTGATCAAAGTTATATAGAAGCGTGATTGGAAGTCTTCTGTATCTTACAACAAGTAGGCCAGATATAGCTTTTACTGTTGGTGTGTGTGCTAGATATCAGGCGGATCCCAAAATGAGTCACATCACTCAAGTCAAAAGAATTCTAAAGTATGTGAATGGTACATGTGAGTATGGAATAATGTATTTTCATTATATAAGCTCTGTGCTAATGGGATATTGTGATGTTGATTGGGCTGGTAGTGCTGATAATAGGAAGAGTACTTCTAGTGGATGATTCTTCTTGGGAAACAACTCGATTTCCTATTTTAGCAAGAAACAAAATTGTATATCTCTATCCACTGCCAAAGCTGAATACATAGCAGCAGGTAACAATTGTTCTCAATTGGTATGGATGAAGCAGATGTTGACTGAGTTCAATGTCACATAAGATGTCATGACATTATTTTGTGATAACCTAAGTGCTATTAATATTTCCAAAAATCCTATTCAACATAGTAGGACTAAGCGTATTGATATTAGGCATCACTTCATAAGGGATCTTGTTGAAGACAAAGTCATAACTCTTGAGCATGTTAGCACTGGAAATCAGCTTGCTGATATTTTTACTAAGGCTCTGGATGCAGTTCAGTTTGAAAAATTGAGAAGGAGACTAGGAATTTGTGTCTATGAGGACTTATAGCAATTACTGCTATTGGTGTGTGTTGTACCCCAAAATTTTTCCTCTCATTTATCAAATATTTTTCTCAATTTCTACTGAGTTAAGACTGCACAAATTTGCTTCGGTTAGGCATCTAGCTTCCTTCGAGCAGGCTTGATTCAAGATTTTCGATTGAGCATCTGGCCTCCTTCAAACTTGCTTGAAATTCCCAAGCTTCGATTGAGGCAATGACCTTTTGTATGCTTGCTTCATACAACCTTTGATTGAACAAATGGTCATCTTCATGCTACCTTCGACTGGGCATTGTTCCCTTTGAAACATCTTCCTTCGATTCAGAAGACAAGGGCCTCCTGTTGGTGTCCTTCGATTTAAAAGTTAGAAGCTTCCTACTGGATTCTTTCGATTAAGAAGGCAATGACCTTCTGAAAGCTTACTTCGATTCAGAAGGCAATGGCCTTCTGAAGGTTTCCTTTGATTCAAAGCAGGGACATCATGCATGCAAGCTTCGATGGCACCATTGGCCCCTTATATGTTTGCCTTTGATTCACAAAGCAAGGACCTCCTGCATACAAGCTTTGATTACACCATTGGCCTTACATGTTTGCTTTGATTCACAAAGCAGTAGCCTCCTGCACATAAGCTTCGATTCATAAGCATTAGCAGTACTTCCTTCATGACTGCAAGGCAAGTACATCATGCATGCCAACATGCACAAGGCAAGCGCCTCCTGTGTTTGCTTTCGACTCACAAGGAGATGGCTTCTTCTGTGTTTGCCTTTAATGCACAAGGAAATGGATTTCCTTCATGCTAGCACCCACAAAGCGTTGGCTATTTTCACGATAGCTTCTACTGGACAATATTTCCCTTGGAAACAGTCTATTTTTATCACATATAATTTCTACACTATGGCACACGATGGGTGTCCCATTCGAAAGACATGTATGGATGTCCCATTCGAAAGACATGTCTTGGTGGCTCATTCGAAGAATTGCAAGTGGTGCACACAATTGATGCATGTGGTCCCTTCAAAAAACACACATATGGTCCAATCGAAGGACACATATTTAGCCCCTTCAAAAGATACGCATGTGGTCCACTCGAAGGACACACTTTGGGTGGGAACAAATATTGTTGTCTGAAGAAGAGTCTGGTCATAGGATGGATCTAGTTGGTCAAAACAAAAGAGTTTTATTCAAGATGCTTGCTGGCCAGAGTCCTATGTGCTGCCAAGTCCAAGCCTGCTGCACTGGCCACAATGCTCTAAAACCGCTGTAAAGCAGTCCTATTACGCTGCTACTATATTTGAACCAATTTGGCATACAAATACTGCACCTCGAAAGCTACAAGAACAGCTTACACAATTGTTCAAATTCTTTTGTTTTTCCTCTCAAATATCAGCCAACTTCATCTATAAATAAGATGTTCCACAACACATCTTAGGGGGGCTTTTGGTAGCTGGAGAAACTTTGGTTGTGTGAAAAAATCATCAAACACTTAACACACTCTCAAACCCAGAATCAAAAGACCACACACTTGTTTCTGTTCCTTTCGAATTCAACACTAGAAACATAACACTTGTTTCTTTTCTCTTTCGAATCCAGAAGCAACCCAATGCCTGATTCCTTCTTTTGAATCCAGCATTAGAAACATAACACTTGTTGCTTTCTTTTGAATCCAAAAGCATCCAGGGGAGCAACTCAAGGTCCAGCACACACATTCCAGCTTCAAGCAAGGTAAGTCACTCTGACCTTAACCCTTTCATTTCAAGCATGTAAATAACATTTGCTCACTTTTTATTTTTGTCCTTTCGACTGCATGCTTTTCTTTTCCAAGTATATGTTAGAACTAACCTGTACAGACTCAAATGAAAGAAAAAGTTTCATGTGAATCGAAGCCTTAGGCTTCACCCCTTACTGCTTCATAGTGGAAAACCAAACGAAAGGACAGGGAGTGTGAATCGAAGGGCGCACACTCAGGTTGACTTCCAGACCCAATAGAAAGAAGCGACAAGAAGGGTGAATTGAAGAGTGCATGCTAACACTGACTTCCAGACCCAATTTAAAGATGGAGAAATGTGTGAAATCGAAAGGCACTTCCTTCGATCCAGGATGCTTTTTTTTTCTTTCACTCTTTTTACACTATTTTTTGTCTTTATATTTTCTATATATTTACATTCAATATGGTTGTAATAATTAGGACTTTTATTTTTTGCAACCCCCACTTGTACATTTGTATACCCCATCCCTCAAAAAACATGTAATAGCGTATGACCTCTATTTTTCGTATTTTATTGCTTTCATAAATGTTAGTAATTAGGGTGTATGACAATATAAAACCAATAAATAGACCACCCTAATAAAAGACTAAATGCATGCAATCAAACACATTTTGCACACATGCACCTCTAGGGTAATCTCACTTGTTGCCTCGGAAAATAGTCATGTCCCTCGAATAGGGACGTTTTAACAAAGACCCTCGATAAAAATATAGTGAAAAATTTATGAACTCTAGATATATAATTGTTATGATTCTTTATAAAAATACACATTACTCGAGAAAACTTTATGAAAAACTTGCCTCTTCAGCACTGGTTGAAGTAATCTCAGACTTCTCATTAACAATAGAAGGATCCCATTTTTCCCATTCTATAACCTCCCTACCATATCTAAGAGCTTCATCGATCGTATCGGGTTCCAATCCAGTAACCAAAGAAACAAACAGAATTCGTTCTGTAAAAGAATGGAACAATCTCTTAAACTTTGTAGCAATGTATTGAAAAGCACTTTGAGCTAATGATGGCATAGTTCCGTTGTTAGCATTGCCACTTCTTTTTTTACTGTGACTTGTAACCGGATTAAAGTCGGAAAACCATTCACACTTTTTTAGTGGAACATGTTCGATCTTTTCCTCTAGAAGATCAAATTTGGTAAGTATCAGAACAAATTTCTTCTTCTTGAAAGTTGGATGATCGATGATGTTTTCAAATAGGTTTTTCGATACCAACATTTTGTTTGTGGAAACTCCTTTGCTGTCTACAATGTACTCATCATAGTCGGTTAAGGAGACAGAGAACAAAATCACATCGGTGTCTTCGAACATCTCCAACCACTTGCAGTTTACTCCAAGACTTTTAGGATGTACTCTGATGAGCTGATATCTGTAATTGGAGCATAAAAGTGGGGTAAGAAAGCTGTTGGAACAGAAAAACCAAATACTTATGCGACAAGTCTGACCTGAGAGAAGAATCGTGTTGATAATCGGGATGCAAAGACTCCTCTCTGCTCGACTTTGGAAATGAAAACTCCATTGATGTGAGGCTGTTGGGTAATGACATCCCCTCAGCATATAAAATGTCCATATCAGATGGTTCATAATCTATCTTGGAAATTTCAATAGCCTGAAATTATAGAAAAAGAGCGTAACACAGTAAGAGCATTGATCTAGCGATAAGTTCTAAAGCCGGCCCTCTGTAAGAAGCTGAAGTTAGCTTCAGTTGAGTCGTGAAATTTTTTTAAGGGGCTCTCTTTAATCGTGGAATATGTGTATGGAGGCCCTATTTGCCATAGCTTAATCATGAAAAAGTGTGATGTCATGTACTAGGCCGTCTTGCACACCCTCAAAAACGACTCAGGTTCTAAATGTTAAGTTATACAAGTATTAATCATATGTGATGATGAGTTTAAGGAAAACCGAATATATTCTTACCCTGTCTAGAAAATAGTTAGCACTTCTAGGTAGCATTTTTAGTTCATTTCTCCTGTTGTATGTCGCCTGAATCGCCTCGTTCCTCCACAAATCCTCTACCATTGGCCCATATTCGCGTATAGCAGCTGGAAATATTGCATCCATGTTACCTGACAGCATGCATTTGAGTAACCAATCTGAGAAACCTTTCAGTCTTTGGCCAATTGAATATGGTGTTGTTGTATCAACATTTTCACCAGATGATGTGGATTCATCAGAAGACAATCTTTTCTGATTTTCTAGCAAACACTCTTCTTCGAAATCTCCACGCGCCTCCAGAAGTAAACCAAGGTATATAAACAGGTTGCTTTGAATCACCAACTTGATATTTTGAAGCTCGTTTTCGGAGAAAGGAGCATCATATAAAAGTTTGGCCTAAGAAAAAAAGGTTCAATCTTTAGAAACCGAAAATGGAGATATTTTGAATAGATGAGATGAAATTATTTTCATGAAGCAACCAACCTGCTTAAATATAGTGCACGCTCCAGAATTGACACAACCGACGAGTAAAAAATTTTGAAGTCTTTTCTTATGAAGACTGAGTTTCTTAGCTGTTTCAACTTCATCGTTAAGAGACGCAGATTTTGAAGGAACTGGCAGAGACAGAATAGCACAAGCAACCTTTGTTCCAACCTGTAAAAAGGAAACGGTTAGTACATCAACCCGACTTCAAAAGAAAACATGTACAAAAAATGCAAACAGAGAACACATAATATTTGACCATAAAGTTTGGTCAATTGTGTCTACGTCTCTGATAATTGACCGGTCGTCGTACCTTTCTATTAGACCGGCTTACGGTTTAGAGAAGACCACTAGCATAACTAATGATGACCCGTTGTTACAATGAAAACCAAACATAAAGAAAACAACGATCACCTACCTTGTCCCATATGCGCCCCCTATCGTTCTTTTGTCCTTCTTCGCGGTACGATCCATCAGGATTAACCCAAAAGTGTGGAGTTCCTTCACATGGCACTCCTGCCATCTGCAAACAACAATTGTTAGTAACATTATTGGTTTAACTTTAACATTCTCAAAAAGAAGAAAAGGATAGTTTCTTACAGAACAACAACCTTTAGTATCATGATCTCTTTTTTAGTAATCACACGATCATTTATCATCACGTTTGTGTTTCCGTGGCTTGCATTTTTCTCCAAACGACCGCCAACGTCCAACCGGGGGCTTATTATTTCACAAGGCGGTTGACCTTTCTGTATTATCAAGCATTATAGCATTAGGATAAACAGTTTAATTAAGCATCTACTCAATAACCTCTCGTCGTATAAGAGCTTATGAATAAGTTGTTTCTATGTTCACGTGATCAATTTATCATATAAAGAGAGAGGAAAGCATAATCTTGGTATAAAATTTTAACATAAGATACATTCCATAAGAGTATTAAGTTGAGCTTAGATTTTTCACCTTTCCCCAAAATCCAGAAGCTTTATCATACCAATAAGATCCCGGTTTAAGATCTTTCGGAGGATGATCACAATGAAGCAACAAATTAAGTTGTTCTCGATTAAGTCTTTGCGAGTTAACTTGAACAAGCTCGGGCGGAATTTGATTAGCTTCACAAAGCCTTTCATTTTCCATAATTTGATCTACAATAGTCTCAGACAACAACTGTTTCATCATCCTCGAACATTTACCAAGCTTCCTTCTTTTACTCTCATCAATTCCATAACCAATGCAACCCAAACATTTCCTTCCTTCCGGCATAGCTCCCATTGCTCGTATCAAACAGTAACTACAATACTTTGCACTACAAACAATACAAACCTCTCTCTCCGTTAAACTATTCCCTTTAAGACACTTATAACAAGACCCTTTTTTCCCTGGTCTAATTGCATGTTCCTTCACAGGTACACTTACATTGCGCGAATCAGAAAACTCGTCACTTTCGATTTCTACCACGCAATTCGATTCGGGGTCACAGAATGTAACCGCGGAAGGATGTTTAACATGTTTCGTTCTAACTCTTTCTTCTTCTTCTTGTTCTTCACTTATTGAACAAATCTCAGAAGTCCTAAACCCTATACCAGAACCAGAACCTGATTCAATTGTATCAGAATTGCTAGGAACATCATCAACAACTCCATTCTCATTCTCATTCAAATCAACATGAACATGAACATGAACATGAACATCACTGTTTGATGCTTCAATTTCAACTACATGAGATTCTAAATTAGGATAAACAGTAGAATCTGAAGTTGTTCTTTTATGTTTGAGCTTATTCTTGTGAAGAACTTTACCAAGTGGTTGAATAACAGGTACATTGAAATCATGAGAAAGAGAAGGAGCTATAGAAGCAATTGGAACTTGATCAATTTTGAAAGTAGGGATTTCAGGGATTGAATGATCAAGAGGAGGACCAGTATAAACAACAGCAAAAGAATATTCAAAATTACTACTACCACTAATGCTATCTTCTGTTTCCATAGGAGGAACAGAAGAAGTTCTTAACTTTCTTAGAAAAGAAACCATTTTTATCAACAAACTCAAAAATTGAAAACAAACCCAAAATAGAGATCACTGATTCACATCAAAAGAACACTTTTTTGAGAAAACCCATCAAGTAAAAAAGGTAACTTTACAACCCCATGTGATGAAATAAAGGAAAGAAGCAAATTATCAAAAGCAATGGTGGATTGAAGTGAAGGGAGAGGTAGAATAAGAAAGTGTGGAGTTGACCAAAGTGGATGGGGTTAGAGAAAATTAAGGTGCTTTGTTTAAGTAGTGGGACGTGTTCCATACGTTTGAATGGCAACTAGGAGGAAAATGCTTAAGAATGTTTCAAACCACCGTGTATTTCAATTTTCATTTGAAAAAATGTGGTAGAGTAAATGCATTCTTAAACGTGTCCTTGATTTGGTTCGCTTTCTTTTTCACGATGAAAAATATTGTTAATTTGTAACAACAACGTTAAGAGTCGGGTGTTGCGTTGCATCCTCAAACACATATTTGGGTTAGATGCTATGTTACTAGTTGTCTTATGTTTTTTTTAGTTTAATATATCTTTGGTATTAAATTGTAATTCATAGTGTTGAAATTATGTGTCGAAGAGTTTAGAGGTGAATTGAAACAGGTTGTTCGAAGGAAGTCATTATTCAGTCGAAAAGCTTGTGGATCGAAGTAAACTACACATAAATTTCATTTGTTTTAGATAGATAGATTTGATTTAGATCTAAAATAGATATTTTGGGCTTTTATAGTTTTGGGCTTTGGCTTAAGAGCAAGTTAACTTAAATAAATAGAGGGAGTAACCCCTAATTTTGTAATCAAGACAATCAAGTCATTCACAGTATTTTGCAGTTGCAAAATGAATAAGAAAGTTTTCCACAGTTTGTGAGCAGAGAGAAACTCTGCAAAAAATAATTGTCTTCTTTCTTTTCTTTTCTTTTCTCATAATTTATTGTCATTGTGTGGTGATATCAATCTTGTTCATCAAGATTGGTAGAAATTCATCATAGATATTTGGTGAATTTCCAACATCTGGTATCAGAGCTCGGTTTCGATTCAAGGGAAGTATCAATCAAGAACGATTGAAGAATTCACGATGGCGAATTATGAGAATACAAATTATCCAGCAACTCTACCAATTCTGAAAGTAGACAACTATGAGAATTGGTGCAAACAGATGAAAGTTTTGTTCATGTGTCAAGGTCTTTGGGATCTTGTAAAAGATAGTGAGAGCATATCTGATTTCTTCACTAGGGTTACAAAACTAGTGAATCAAATCAAGGTATGTGGAGAAACATTAACAACAAGAGCTGTTGTTTCGAAGATCTTGAGATCTTTGGCTCCTAAGTTCGACCACTGTTTACAGTTATTTCTGGTAAACAACCGTTAGTCCTCCAAACTATCAAATAATCTTAATGACTATTATTCAATCTCTCTGGTAACTCGCAGGATCGACTAGATTGATCCTAGGATGTATTGGTCATTTGGATAACTCTCATTATAGAACTGGTATTCATGGTTGGTATTTAGAATGTTGTGTATGTGTTTAACTTACTTCGATTACTCTATTAAAGATCTAAAGGCGTGATCAAGTAAATGTCGCGAAACTAAATTGCATGAATAAAGTTCAATTGTAAAGACGTATAAAACTGCATAAAAGACAAGTAAATGACTTCGAAGCATAAAAACATGTAATGTAAAAGATTCTCTGGAATGTAAAAGATTCAAAATATGAAGAAAGCATTTAAATGCAAGAAAACAGTAAAATGACTTTAAGTGAAAAAAGGTGTTCGAATGATAAAAGCTTGAAGATAAAGGCATGAAATGTACAACAGTTTCTGAAATGTAAAGTATTTGAAATGGAAAGAAAGCATTTAAATGTAAGGCATCAGTAAAAGACTTCGAATGAAAACATTTTAGTGCAAAAGCTTTTGAATGGTATTGACATGAAGATAAAGGAAAATACTGAAAATGATAAAGAGTTTCATTAAATCATAAACACTTGGTGTTATCATACGTACATTGCTCGTGCATTCGTTTCCCTAGCCATGTGGTATTTTGAATGTTTACTGAGTTTTTTGTACAATAGATATGACACACGAAATCCTAATGCTAAGACTTCTATTTATACTACTTCGACCATAACAGTCTTGCTATAAGATTCTGCCACGTTCAGAACATGCATAGCAATGCCTCTCTCTAGCTTCCACGCGTCTTTGAATGCTCCAGCGCATATATTTTAAATTTCGAATATCCCGCTTGCATTTGAATTTCAAATGTTTTGGCACTTCTTCGCTTCGAACGCATTTCTTGGACACAGCCTTGTTAACATTTCGAGACTTCTTTGAATATATTCTCATAACTGTCACTCGAAGCTCCAAGCTTTAATATGCCCATTCGAAGCACTACTTCTACCATTTTGAAACATGACATCTTACTTTATTCCAATCTAAACGTCCAATTTGCTTCGCTTCTAATAATATCATCAAAATCTTCAGCCAACAAAATGCCCCTTTAAAATATGTATTTCGATTCCTTTGAGAAATACTTATTTTAAACATATACACAAGATTTTGATGCGACCTTCGAATCATCGTAACATTTATTGCATATGACCCCAGTCACGTCAATCACAACGCTTTTCAGATTCCTTAACCGCCTTGAACCATTTCACAGCATGGTGCAGTTACAAAACAATGATTAATATTTAATCACGCCTATTACCAATATTAACTTTACGCCACCTCCTTCTCAAACCAACACACGACTACCACGTATCACAATCTTACTCAGTGGATGTTTAAACTTGCACACTATAAAAACCCATCAACTTAGTCTTTTCTTTTCTTCCCACATTCTGAATCTTTTCTTCCTCTTTTCTCACCGAAACCCTAAACTTCCAACATTCTTCCAACAATGTCTTCTTCAACTTCATCTCAACTGAAAGAGGCTTCCAAAAAGAAAGGAAAGACCACAGGAACCATAATGGAAAGCAAGGTTGGCACCTACCAAGGTCAATCTGTTCTTATTCCTCAGATGATCTCAAAAGAGAAGGAAATTCTCTATGCATCCCAGGTACTCATTCCTACTAACGCCGTTGGCAAGAGGTTAGCTTTAACGGGCCCTCTTACAGTCTTTGAAATCTTAAAAGACACCAGAAAATTATTCCCTGTTTGTTATAATTTTAAACCTCTGTTTAATAAAATGGATACCCCTAAGACAATAGAGTCTTCTGATTCAACCACCGTGGAAAATCCAATCATTCCCCCTAAGGACCCTTTTGTGCTAGATTATGTAAAGAGTAACTTCAAACCATTTCGATCTTGCCCCACCTCCGACACAGCTTATCATAACTGGTTTAATAAAGTAGAAGCTAAGAAATCCCAGCAATGGGAAGAATTAGGCATTTACAACTTGATTAAACTATCGAAACCAGGTTTTACCTATAGCCACCCATTGTTATTCGCGTCCCTATATTTCTGGGACAGTACTTACAATACTTTCCATCTCCCTGGTGGAATGATTACACCCACCTTTTTTGACATAGCAGCCATTACTGGGTTATCACCAATAGGAGAAACCTATATTCCTGACAATGAAGAGCATTCGAGTATTATTGACTTCGAAGTCAAGCTAGCTAGCTTTTCAAAGTTTATCAGCCACTATCACACTGAAGGAGACAGTGTGTCGGATGTGGAACACATTGCTTTCCTTACCTTATGGTTGTCAAGGTATGTCTTTTGCAGCAGATCCCTACAGGTAGCCAGTAGGTTTATTCCTCTAGCTAGAGATTTGTATGAGAATCGGAGGGTGTGTTTAAGCGAACTGCTATTAATTGATCTTTATGAAAGTCTAAGGTCAGCTGTTTCAAGTTTGAAATCTCATACCTCTAAAAACATCCTGCTAGCTGGCCCTTTCTGGTTACTCCAGTTATGGCTTAATTCCATGTTCGAACCTTCACTATCAACTGCCAATACTATTGCTGAACAAGACCCAAAAATAGCGGATAGAATCATCGAAGGCACTTGGCTGCGAAGACTTACCCCAAACGATGATAAGGATGACTTCAAAGTTCTCTTCTCAAAATATATCATGATTTTCTCCAAGAGGCATAAATTCGAAGAGACCATGGCGCCTTTCGCTTCAAGGACTCATGGCCCGTCATGGTTCACCATGGCTCTCTCAGAAGCAATCAAAAGCAAAGAAATTCAAGATGTATGGAGAGCCTTTTTGCTACCCAGACTGATCTCTTCACGAATTACTCCTGCTAAGAATCAAATCTTCCTTTTTTCTTATCAACCCAACTTCGTTTCGAGACAATTTGGCTTGTGCCAACTAATTCCTGAACCCCTATTCCAAACAGAAAATGCTATCACCTCTGGGCGAACCTTCAAGGCAAGAGAAGCCAAACTACAGCAGGAACAATACCAAGGCTTCGCCCACTTTGAACTAATAACTTTCGAACCTACACACCTTACAGCAAAGGGGTTTTTGGAATGGTGGACAAAGTTCTATCAGACTTATATGTTCGATACTCTTACTATTCAGCAAAAACTAACTGATGCATTCGATGTGCAGGTACCATCCAAGAAAGGTATGTTCACTCATGCCAAAGAGATTAAGGCTTTTCAAAATTATTTCGAAACTACTTATGATCCCACACACTTGGAATCCACTGTGCATCAAGCGGCTGAGACCTTGAAGGAAAAATTCAAAGAAAAAATTTATAAGTTAAAACTTCCTTCAGGGTTGTCACCTGAGGATAGGTATAGGTTGGCATTCGAAATGCATCCACCTAAATTTCCTAGATTACCTACCTCAGAACTGGCTCTGGCTTGGTTTCCTCCATACCCTTGGTGGTTCACTTGCAAAGAAATGTTCAAACATCTTCAAAAGAAACCAAAGCCATCTGAGACTGTGACATGGCCTCGACATTGGCTCCACGATTTCCCAGGACATCTTCGCTATGACCTTTCTGCCATGTCAATTAAATCTGATCAAGGCACAGGTGCGAATGCTTGGGA